TCATACCTAGGAAAGTTTTTCAATTAGTCACTGTCCTGCACATAAATCAGAACATTTTGCTTTATCATTCAGTATTACTGTGTATCTCAAGGATGACTGAAAGAAGAGAGATACCTGGTAATTTGAAATGATTAATTGGTTCTGGAACAGTTTCTGTAGAACCACAGCCCCCTTTAAAAGACATTTCTGAATCACCACTGCAGCTAGAAGAATATCAGAAGCTAGTGGAATTTAGAAGTTTTATGAGATGAATTCCAGAATAGGCTGCATACAAAGTGAAATGACCCATCACATCTGATGAACCTTAGTGGTGTTTTCTTGAGCTGAAGAAATATCAAGGAGACAGCCTAATGAGAAAATGGCATGGGTACTACCAAGCTGTAAGAGTAAGCAAGTTACATCTGCAGAGATGGAGAGGGATGGAGCCATGGCCCATTGCCTCTAGCACTGCTGTATCAGAAATGCACACAAACTTAGCAGCCAGAGACTTGGCAGGGGTGCACGCAGCAGTTCTGCAAGGAGCTCTTGTTACACTGAAAGGAAGAGTGTAGCTCAGTGGGAAAGGGCCTAGTAAGGGCCTGTAGGGAACTTCTGAAAGTGCAAAGGCTCTTGTCCCCTTCTCAGTTCTCATTAATGGATTATCCAGGGGTGTCCTAAAAGTGCCAGAGGTTGTAGACATCCAACCTGGCCTTGGAAATTACACCCAAACAGTCTTCTCATGGAGCTTTGCTGTGTCTTTAGTGGCCCAACTCAGTTGCTGAACACTGTCCACCTCACTGCCTTTCTTCTTTCTCCATCACACTAGCCTTAGGCATTTCATATCTCTTTTTAAAAAGTTTTTATTGCTCCAAAGTCTTGCTTTAACTGAACTTTCAAACCTCAGGATTACCTTGAGAACTTGCTCTAAACCTGGAGCAATTTGTGTGCAAGTTATGATCAGATTTTTTTTCTGTTTTGAGAAGAGGAAAGCTTTTAGTATGGGTAGTAAACATGTCTTCCAAAAAGCCACTGCAAAAAAAAAAAAAAGGTTGGAAAAAATTCCTGGTGTCAGAAAATGAGTCACAAAACTGAACTGAATGTGGATGACTGCTCACTGAGTGTCTTTGTCTGGTATCAAATACTCCCTCTTCCTCCATTCTCAACTCCCCCCCTTTTTTTTTAAGCTTGTGTAATTATTCCAGTTATGGTATTAGCAATACTCCTGATATATTCCAATGTCAGCAAGATCAAAATCAGTCCTGGGAAACTGTTTTCTTTATGTATAGTTTCAACACCAACAAGGTTGACAGGTAACAGAGGCTGTTCATTAGCAGCCTGCCTTATACAGAGCACTTACAAACCTGAGGCTTAGGAGTGGAAGATCATTGCTTTTTTGTGTATCTTCTATTCAACTGCTTAATCACAATTTTATGTGCATTTTTTTATGTTTTGATGGATGAAAGCCTTAGCTGCCAGAACTGTTGATACTGAACTTTTCTGAACCATCCCACTGTCTGCACCCTGCTGCCTCATAACAAGCACTGGCATGGGAATACATGCAGGCCAATGTATTCCTCCTTCCATTATCTACAGACTTGTAGTCCTGGAGAACTCATGGTGGTCACCCTGTCCCCACTCTCTGAAGAATTTTTGTATTTTAAATTGTGAGTCCCTGGATCAGAACTTTTCCTTGGAGATAGGTGTCCCTTGCCCCCAATATACAAGTCTGCACTTCCAGGTATGCATTTGTTATTTGGTCTGTTTTTGGCATCAAAGGAATAGTTATCCCAGGAGAGATGGGTAGCTCCTCTCACATTCCTTCCTTCTCACAACCTCTAGCTAGGAGTGATTTCATTTTATGTGGAAGTGCTGCTGCCATAAAACATTTCACAATAGCCTAAGGGCTAGAAGTAGTAAACCCAACGCTGTGGAAACCTTAAATCAAATTTTGCATGAGGTGTGCCAATGCATATGGACTCACTCCTGGGAAAGTACATTCTGGGAAGTACCTTATTATGCTGATGTGCAGTAAGTGTTTTTTAAGGAGTCTAAGGCAGTCTCTTCCCTTCTTTTAGGATTCTGACTGGGCTTAGATGTAAGATGCCAAGTTGCTCAAATAAGGGCAGTTCTGGGCATGACAAAAGTAAAACTGTAGGTATTGAGAGGGGTTACGTGAAAGGGAGGTGCCTTCTGAGTTCAGACATGTTCCTGGTTGGGTGGCAGCTAAGCAAGGATTACAATTTCGGATTGAAATGCCCGACTTTCTCTCACTTCAATCCTGTTGTGGGTGTGTACATCTTTTATTAGAGCTAGTCCTTGAAGGTCTTGAGATACCTTGTAACTGCCTTGGCTGGAGAGGCAAAGATTGGAAGCTTAAATTCTGACAGACCTTGTGCAAATCAAGTAACTCTTTTCTCAGCGCTTTTCAATATCAAATTCCTTATGACTAAGCTTGACCATGAACACTGGTCTATGACAACACTGTTCTGAACCATTCTGTTGGTTCTATCTTATTATTAAGTGTTCAGGTATTTTATAGAAATATCAAACTAGTGAGAACTGGTCTCATTAATGGGACCTGAATACCAGCTCCTTAAGGCTTATGTATTGTCACCAAGCTTCATTACCTAAGAATTTCATGGTCAACCCTAGATGATAGCTGTAGCATTGTGATAGCTCTGATAGTGTAAAGTAAAGCAAGATGAGGTGAAACAACATGGGGTGAAAAAGCCACCCTTATTGAACTGAGGCAGTTGGAAAAGTTGACAAGCTTTCCTTGTGTGAATCTCTACATTTTATTCCATTTAAGTGCCTAAAGTATGATTTGATTCAGTGCTATGTGAAGGGGTCCTTCTTTCTCCCACTTGCAGCTGGAAGGGGAAGCCAGACAACAGATGAAACATCTAACACAGGTGACACTCACCCTTGGCCTCAAGTTGTGAGAGAAGTATGTAGAAAAGAACCTGCCTCACTACTTACATGAAATTCTAGTTGTTTCCATCAATCTTCCCAATTTCTGCATCAAATACAACTATTTATGTAGCAGAGGAAACAAGCCAAGCCAAGCCAAGCCCAACATTTTGCATTAATCAATGCAGTGTGTCTTTTTTGGATGATGAGTCAGAGTAAGAATCTATCTTAGCTCCTCTGAATTGCCTCTCAGAAGACATTTTCTTTTTGTTGCAATAATCTTAGGAAGATTAGTGTCACCAGGATAAAATTAGCCTTTATTAATTCACCTCTAATTTGTACATCCAACATGAAGAAAGCATCTTCATTTTTAGTGCATAACTTCTGGTTCAGCATACCCACTGGACGCCTTTAATTGTAATTTTTATGAGCACAGACAGACAACAAACAAGACTGGTAATGTGTCCGGTGTTTGACCTTGTTCCATTTGCATTTTTATTAAAAAAAAAAACCACAAACACATGTATTTTTCCATGTCTTTTTTAAAAGAGAGTTAATAACTACAATAGTTTTATCTCTGCAGGTGGGGGAATGATCACACCCTGTAAAAATAAGGGACTTATCATTCTTTGGCTTCCACTAAATACAAGTGTGTGGTCTGAGGTCCCAGAGCTGCAGGGATGTTCTGAACTTTTTACTCAGTGAATGCCTAAGTGAACTTTTTGGAAAGGTGGGAACAGGCTCTTAATTTACTAATACATCAAAGTTTCTGTTGAGAATTTATTTCAATTTATATGGTGAACGAGGAGGGTGGGGAAACATAAGATACAAATATAAATGCTCCAGAGTCAGATTTGGAGGATTTTAGGAAACCGCTCCTGGAAGGAGGCAGGTTAAACTTCTTTGTGAATTAAAAGAAAAAAACCCATAAACACGAATCCAGGGTTAGTTCTGTATGTTAGTTGTGATTTTCATGAAAAACAAGATGCTGAAATGTTTTGCATGTCAGAACTGAGTCTCCAGCTCATGATTGTAGATCTAAGGTTTGCAATAACAAGAGACAGGCTGGATTTGGAATATCTTATTATTTATAATAGCTCTACCATCTGGAAAGTCTACTTTTGTCAGGAGTTATATTTTCTCCATTCCATAGAGAAGATGCATCAAAATAGATGACCTGAATCAGGTGTAAAATTTCCTGCATTTGTTGCAGATAATGAAACCAAGTTTCTAGACTCCCTTCTTGTCTAAATTCTCATTTTTAAGTTTATTTTAAGAGATCAGCTGGGATGGTTTGTCCACATTTAAAAAAATTTGGAGATGAGCATTGAAGGAACCTATTCCTACACTGAAGTGCACAGTTCAGTGCCAGTGCCAATTCAATCCCTATTGTCCAACAGTGCTGCAAAGTATTCACAGTATCAGCTGTGCCAGAGCTTCAGGATATCTGTCAGAACTGTCAAATCCATGAAATCCTGAGAATACTTGCCAGCCAGAGTTGCCTGGGGCAGATTCACACCTAGGTATTGGAGAGTCTGTATATATTCATGCTTCCTTCCGCTCCTTTTATGGATGAATTAAATGTAATGGCCAAGCATCAAATATTTTACCCAAAGTCTAACAGTGCATTTTGTATTTTCTTATAGTAAAAGCAAATCTGATCCAGAGAAAGATACTACTATAAAGTATGTAAGAAACTAACAGCTTTAATTATTTAATTACAAGTTTGCTTGAGTCTTGTACCAGCTAGAGAAATGGTGAACAGGACTAATTAATGGCAAGCCTAAATCAAAATAAGAACAAACCAAAACCATTCCACTTAATTGCCTGAGGTAGCTAATACCAGATGACTTCAGTAAGCTATTTAAGAATGCATATATCCATGAGTAAATAACATAAAATGGCACATTTTTCTCTGGGGAATGGCCTCATTCTCAAAACTTCTAATCCAGACTTTAGGCTTTTATAGGGCTCCTTTTAGACATAAGAACTAGTACTGATAGATTCATTTTCTTTTAAATGAATTCATCCAGGGGATATTTTTCAGATGAAAATATCTTTGTAAAAATCCTGGACATTGTAAAAGAAAATAACACTCAAAAGAGTTCAAGTCTAGCCTGGCCAATTTTTATTTTCAAAACAGTAATTCCCATTTTTAACTAGCTAACTTCTTGCTGAATAAAAAAAATAAGAGAAGTTTCCATAGGCACTAATCATTAAGATCCAGTTTTTGAAAGCCATATGAATCCCTCTCTAAATGTCATAAATGCTAAAAATACTTTTAATATACGAAGATTTTCTTAATGTACAAAGAATATGCAGTGTCAGCTAGCGTCAATAGGCCAATAAGCAAGAAAAGAACAATTCTACAATTTCATCTGTAAAGAAAGCATGTGCCTGTAAAAAGAATTAAGCATTTTTTTGAATGTTGCCAAAATTCTGCAGAGACCTGCTTCAGAGAAAGCAATCATTCTGTATGGGCTTAATCACACACAGAGATACATAATTTTCTACTATAAACACATTAAATGAAGTTGATAATAGTGAAATTGTATTGATACTCATCCATTTTTTTACCTCTCACATATTTTGGAAGAGCTGCATAGTACTCTATGCTGTTTGGCATTTTAAAAGTTTTTTTTAAAGCTGATAAATCTGAAAAAAAAAAGTTGAAAATGGGAAACAGCTGATGTTTTATTATTTTATTATATATCTTGTGTTTGATAAGAAATTTGAGACATCATTTTAGAAAACAGCCTTCTAAATCATACAAACATTTTACAATTGCAACTTACCATCTGTATTTAAAGGAAACAGCAGCATAAGCCCATCAGAAGGCTAATGTTTTAAGGTACCTCTGCATAAGTTCTGTTATTCTGATTTAAAATGTCATATTAGGTGCAGAAGAAAGAAAGGTTTTTTTGGGGGGGTTAGGCTTTGAAGTAGTAAATAAGCAACACAGAGAGTCAAGTCAATAGGTTAGGAGAATTAGACAAGGATACCAATTACACTCACTTGCCTTCTATAAGAGCTTGCTACCTAGTTAAAGTACTAGCATAGTGTCTATTGCTTTAAACATCACAGTGTTCACACCTATAATATACAGAAATAGGCAGGGTTGCATTACTATACCCCATTTTAATAAAAACCATTTCTCATAAACAGATATTTCCAGCTCTTTTGCATAGTTGTGTTTGAAAACACTTACAATTTTTGCTTTTACACACAATCATATATAATTAATATACTAGAATTGCACAGTAACACTCAAAATTTACTTAAGTTATCTAATTAATTTAGTTATCTAAAGCTATTTTTCGCAGCATCTCACTCTTGCTGCTTAATAAGTTGGTTAGAATTCAAATACTAGAATTCAAATACAATAATGCATCAAAGAAAACCAATCAAGTGTAATTTACAAAGGTACAAAATATACAGCAAAGTTAACCTCTCATTAAATAAAATATACAGATTAGCTGATGTTACAAATCAGTAGCTAACACCTTATTTTAAGGGATAAACTTCTAGGGAGCTTCCCCCCAACCTTCAAATACAGGAGAATTACACAACAATTCCTTTCCCTGTATGTTTATGCAATGAGTCACATTCACTTTAACTGCTGATAACAGAGGACTATGTTTATCATTCTGCATAGTGAAGCCAAAAATGATCCTTGGTGGAACTGCAGTAAACTCAATGTGACACCCTACAGATCAGTTTTGTCTAACGTATGACAGCCTACTCATAGAAGTATTTGTGGTAATAATGCCAATCATTATCACTGTTGTGGCTGTTAAACTTCCACAAGAATTCTCCTGTAATCTAGCAATCAATGTACCATTAAAATAAAGTGTTGCCAATATACTCTGTGACCACTGTTGTTAAAACAGCAAGCTATGAAAACTGCCTACTTATTCTTAAACAGGTCTCCCTGATAAAAAATGAGTTTTAATAAAAATAGCATGTTCCCACTTAAACCAGCCATTGTAATTAACAGTTTGGAATGAATGGTAAGTGCTTGTATGTTAGGTTAGCAAAGAAGTATAACACCAGCCCCGACTACAGCAATGTCACATCCCTGGTGTTTACTCTTGGTCCAGGCGTATATTAACCATGGCAAAGCATCGGCCTAGGCTCTGAAAGGACGGTTCGACAAAAACATCTGTCAGGCTCTTCCATACAGTTTGCACTGAAGGCAAGACCATGAGACAGGTTTTCACAAAAGGCACCACAATCCTGTAAAAGAGAAAATTAAAGATGTGAAGACTGGTGCTGCTACAGCAGGGGAAAATAAAGATAACTAAACAGAAGTGTGACATCTTAAGGAAAAGGAAGTGATTTTACAACTCAAAATATTTAAACAAGTTGATTTCACTCTCTTGCAGTTCTTGTCCATCAATTTTGTTTGCTTACAGCCTCATACCTGGACATGCAGAAGCACCATGATGCACCTGGTCCTCAGGCCAGAATAAGTTGTGTGCAACACAGGAAACAGGAGACGCCAGCTTTCTTTTCATCACGTCTCTGCTTCCTAGTCAGAAATTTTTGTACATGCCTTTTAGAATGATGATATTTTGCTGTTCTCCCCCTGCTGCTGGCAGGGCTGGTGTCCATGATATGCTGTAGCCCTGCTGCCACCCACTGTGGCTAAAGAGCAGACTCATCTCCTAAAGACTTACTTGCGCTGTGGTAATATCTGAATGTGTGTCTTTGGGGCTAGACAGAAACACCATGTTCCACACTCTGAGTGACTGCAAACAATCTGTTCTTGCTCTGCTGTAACTTCTGGTGTTTCTCCTATCTGTCTCTCTCCCGCACACACAAATGCACAGGCACACATGCACATCACCATTGGTGTCTCAATCCTGCCAACCTAACATCCCTGTTACAAGCTGTAAATGTTTTCATTTGTGCATGGGAAATTAACATAGAATGAGGTCAAAACCCCTTGTCGTGAAAAGATCATCTTATTCACTCAAGGTGCATACATGAAAGTTTTGTGCTTTCATCTCCTGAGCACTTGTAAGCAACTGGTAAGCAACATTCCATATGTGCCAATTCCAAAGCAATGTCTTTAGTGGTGCCTTTAGCCAAGCATATTAACAACGCAGGTGAGTCTCAATTACACATACGGGCAGCTCACAAGGGCCAGTGGATACATGATAATTGACCACAGTATTTTAAGCTATTCTTCTTTCTTAATTATTTACCAGCCTAAACTCCTGGTCATTTCACTAAGCTGGATGTTCTTACTTTGGTGCAGACAAATTAAATGTATAAATAACTTATGTAATACTGAAGTGGTACTAGAGCAAAGTTTTAAAAGAATCTCTGCCATATAGAAGACATTTATTTCCTAAATTAGGTAAAAGAAGCTATAGATTCTTTTGATAAAGATAATAAACTCTGTTCCATTTGCTGTTGCGTTCAAAATTTAAATTCCCAATCTTGCATCAACATAATTCCACTGCAAAACTCTCACTGACTTTGGTGGGAATGACAGAAACGATTTACTATTTCATCATAGGTCTGAAAAAATTAAGATAAAAGTACTGTGCATTTACCTTGCGTACCTCAGAATAACAAAGTAGAAAAAAACTCTGACACATTCAAAAATGTTGAAGGTTAGAAATGCACAGAGTCAAAATTAATTACTTTCACTGTTTATCTAACTGGATTCTCAGCTTTTGTCACACAATACGAGCCATATACTAGTATGTCCATGCTGCAGTCTAAGCAAGCCCAGATGGATTTAAACAAGAATAGTTTTTCTAAAACCTTCTCTTTTGTCTCTGCTGAAACAGCTAGTAATATACACCCCATATAGAACTGTGGGTGTTACTGGAATAATGTGTCTCTAGTTTTAAACTGAACACTGTAAACTGTGTGCTTTATAACCACCTATAATATCACTGCATATAGAATACATGATTTCTAGATAAAAAAATCAGGCCTTCACCTGTTAGAATACAGCTGATAAAGATCAGTAATGCAAAGGAAAAAAAGAGATTGGTATTTCTCCAAGCAACACAGGGAAAATGCCAGAAATGGCTACTCAGCTTGTGTTGACTTCAACCCTTTTCCATTTGTTATGTCACTGCTCCTTTGCTGTCATCTAAAATTAATTTGGCGTGATTTTTTTTTTAATCTAACTGAACCAGAGAGAAGCGGAAAAGCTGACATTTGTACTGGACCCTCTGTTGACAGGATTACACAAAATACAAACTAAACAAATACCACACTATGCAGAAGTTTCACAGAAAGATGTAGAAGGCTGGAAAAGCAGTGATCATACTACTTGCAACCGCTGTAGGAGTCATTCACACAGCACCAGAACTCAACCTATATTGATAATTTTAAATAAAATAAACATTAAAATGTTTTGGTAATGCTTTATAATCTTTTAACATTTGCTATATAATTTTATGGTAAATGCATGCAAAAACCAATGTGGGCTAACTCCATAGGACGATACCAGAGCTAATTAATGTAAATAACTTCCAATTTTAAAATAAAAGTCAGTCTACTTAGACAACATTTACTCAAACACCTTTCCTCAGAGAAGAAAATCCTGTACAGCCAAGAGAGCCGTAAAAGGTATTTTCTAACTTTTAAAATATGTGAGTGTGTGTATATATGTATTTACATGCATGTAAGTCCGCATCCTGTTCAGCACAGGACAGGTTATTCTCCAGTGCAGGATTTCCAAATCATCAGAAGGTGCAATGTGCCTTCTGTGGAGTGACCAGGCACACTCAAAAAATAAATAACCAAATGCCATTAGAAGCCATTTATTTATTTTGTGACCTGACAAATATAACATACACATTCTTTACTCACAATGCTGTGGGTTTACCCCAGTCTGCACTTCTATTCACAGACATGGTACCTGCTTGCTTGAATAATGTCTAACAGCGAAATTAAAGGCAGCATATCCCAAGGATACCAACATTGATGCTATGGTACTATTGGTACTATTAGTGTTACCATGTAGTACAGCATTGGGAAGAAAATGAAAGCTCTGTTGAATTTGTCATCTAAGCTGAAGACAGCCACCCATATGACCTCTCACTGAATCTTACTATGTATGTATTTATTATAAAATACCCATCCTTTCACTAAGTAGAATGAATCATATCTTTTGGGAACTGTTGAACTGAAAAGAGCACATTACCCCATTTTTTTCCCATCCTATCCTATTTTGTCTTCATTCTATTCAAGGCATGACATCTACAAAATCATACCCCTCAAACTTCTCACTTTTGCTCCCATTTCTTTTTTTTTTTCCTCTTAATTCCTGAGTGAATGTTGTCAAGAATCAAACACCTCTTGGAAATGGCAGAGCACAGTTTAACATCCACTGATAAGGAAATTTAACTTGTCAAAGCCTTGGGCAATGAGGTTAGAGTAGTCATGCACTGTTAGTTCACATTCCCCCTTCAAAGTGAACAATCACATCTTCTCTTGTAATGTTTTTCAAAATGGAACCTCAGATATGTCTTGATGCTATTTTTCAGATCCCATATGTTTCTGTGCTTAAACTACCTAATTACAAGTATGCACACATACTACATCATGATTTTGAATTAAAAGTCTTGTATGGCTCTACAATACAAGCAAGCATTGTGAAAAGATGGCTAACTATCATCTAGAACTGTACAGTTTCTTGTTGCGTCCCATTAACCCTTGGGATGAGTGAGGCAACAGATAACCACCGAAGCCTTTCACAACTCAAACACAGTATATGAAGTGCATTTTAACCAAACATTATCTATTGCAGGACCTGGGCAGACTGGAAAAGATAAAATTACTACAAAGGAAGCAAGAGAACATCTACCTACTTCCTCTTCATAAACCAAGGGATATGTATTGGACATCAAAGACAAGACATCAAGGCAACACCACCAGGTCATAAGGTGGGTCTTCATGGCATAGCTGCACTATAATTTATTTTGATTTCAGGCAGTCAGTAGGGAGATGGTTTTAGAGTTGAGTATGATATTAGTAAGTTAAGTAAATGAAGATGTGGAATAAAAAAAGGTAAGAAATTATGCATGTCCATATGTGCTTCTCTGCATGTAGGTCCCTGGCTACATCTTAGCACTGTGAATGGAAGCTCAAGCCAGGAGATGCTATGAATACCTACTGCTCCAGCTGATGGTAAGAGTGTAAAGCTGTGTGAGTCCTTGTGGTTTACAGCCCATTTCAGATTCCAGACTCAAGCTATGGATCCTCAAATAAACCACTGATTATTAGCATGAACATACCAAAAGCTATTCAGGTAAGACTACAAAAAAAGCATACATGAAATCCAAGTTTTAATTTCCAAGAGGTGGCAAATACATGGCTTGGAACAAGAATCAGCCACTGATCTATAATAAATATAATAATTTTGCACATGCTGCCTGAAAAACCAGAAATATTCTACTCATGTTCAAAAATCAATAAATTTAACAGCTGCAATATAAGGACATATTTAAAAGCTTGCTAATTTTCACAGAAAGATGTGGAAAGTCTGGAAATTTCTGCCATGTATAGTTTGTGGTGAGAGTGACAGTCATCTGCAAAGGAAAAGTGAAGCAGACTTCCTTGAACTGGCTTGTACATAGATCACCAACCTGCTAGCTGGCCCAGTTTCAGCCCATAAGTATCTTTTACCAGGTAGCGTAAAAGCAGATTCTGGCTCAAGCAGCCAGTTTGAGAACAGAAACAGAATATGCTCCATCTTTATGGTTAAAATGAAAATTAAAGTGTATTATTATGTATTTCTTACTCGGCTTTCTTTTTGCTGTCCATGAAGACTCACATATTTGCTTCCTTCTACAGTAATCATTTTTTTGGTGAAAGACAACATTTACCATCAGGTATGAGGGGGGCAACTCGCAAGGTGTCCTGGAGCATGAGAAATGTTGAGTCAGACTTCTGTGGATTTTTATCATGCAACTCCAACATGTGTGATAATCAACAGAGCTTCGTATTTGAGCACTTCCAAAAGTTGTTGAAACACTTTTGAATTTAGCCTCGAGAAAGGCTCCCTTATGACACATCAATATGATTATCCAACTGGTTTGGATGATGAATGTGATGTACAGAGTGGCAGCCTTCTGGGAGGGTGTGCCCAGGGCTTTCCCATTATATTTAAACAGCTGAAGACAGAGTTATAACAGAATGCCCTTCCTTTCACCCACAAAACAAGGGTTTTTTTTCAGACCCAATGGGGCTACAAGGGAGCCAATACCATGTGTTTAGGGCCTCTATACCTGCACTACTCCTGCAATACCCTCTTAAATGCAGAAATGTTTCACTTGTTACTCCCATGAAATCTGGAATACTAATAAGTACAGAGAAGCCAACTCAGTCCTGGTGTGTTCCACCTCTGTGTTGAAACAAATCCAGCTTGGGTTTGTGGGAAGATGAGGCTTTGGATAGTAGCACTGGATGGGGCTCAAGGAGGTGTAGATAGTACTACTGAGTTACATGATCCTTTCATGTGCAAGGAAGATCCCTTCTGTAGTGACAACAAATGTAGGGAAAGAAAATAAGTTGCTGAGGAAGCAAGGGTGTTCACAGAAAGTCAGGGGAAACTTTTCAAATGAAGTGGCACATTCAGACAGTCCTATTTCAGATTTACTGAGAACCCACAGTTCCTGAGATAGTCACTAGGGACTACTTGCATAAATAGAAACTGACCTCTGAGTCCTGGATCAGTGAAACTCCTGTCTATGTATCCAGCCTTGAAACCCAGATACAAGATCATTGTGAAGCACAATAAAGTACTACAGTTTTAATAAATTTGGCACTGATGAATTTCTCCAGAGATATCCCACTACTGGAAACTTGGACATACTCACCGTAATCTTATGTAGTCACACTGTACACTATGGCACAGTGACAGCTGACAGACCTAAAAATCTGGGCACACTATGCACTGTTTATAACAATTTGGGAACCAGAGATGTAGCAGATGGGCAGCTCTAAACTGCATTACAGCTCCTTTGGCTATTATGCAAATACTATGCTCCAAAATTCAAGTTAATAGGTTTTCAAAGACAGTAATGATGATGTCATCAAGCCAAACTTCCATTCCACTTTCAAAAACTGAAATCTGCACCCACAAGATTGACATTACAGGTTCAGATAATCAATGTGTTCCTTGTGCTTTGAGTTTGTTTCCAGTCACTGTATTCTATTTTGCTTTCCTTAAGAACTTCTTCATGATTCCACTGTTACCCAGGTCAAATGAGGCTTTGCCCAAGACTCATGCTTATGGAATATCCTGGTTTGCAGGAATGATGTTAATGATCTGCATTCATCCCTTCCTCTGCAGCCTGCTGCATTCTCAGTTCTTTCTCCAACCTCATTCTTTTTCCTGCTGTTCTACCTTTTCCACAATCCTCTCCCTTTCTGGTCTCAAGGTACTTTTCCCGAATAATTTGCCAGTATATTATATTTAAAGTACACCAGGTTGCTGTGATTTGGAGGACCACTGTGTTTGTCTCTGAACTTGGGCCATGGTCAGAAGCAGATTTCCTGAGCTCAGCAGGGTTTTCTGCTTAGGTGGAAGGGTTTTGGGGTACTGCATCTAGAGATAGCCATGTACCAGATGCAAGACAGTGACAGTACATTTTGTGGCAGTAACAAAGAGCAAGCTGGGCCCTCAAAAGCTTTCTTCAGTCTCTGAGGAAAAAAATGAAAGAGGTAACTGTACTAAAGAGATGTCAGGTGTTAGTAATACTTTTGCCTAGGTATTTAATTTAAAATACACCTTTGAATAAATTCTGTACTTGTTTTTAAAAATGCAGTCACTACCATTACTCCAGAAGCCAGCCAAGGCTGGAATGCATAGCTGTAGATGCCATCCAAATGGCAATATGAGCTCTCTGCCCCAAGGAGCTTACACAGTCATGACAGACTGCTGGTAAAAGCAAGGCAGGGAACTGAATCACAGCGAAAACACTGTTTGCTTTTCTCTTCCTTTAGAAATAAAGCAGCTGATTGACTACCGGTTGTAAAGACGGAGATGGCTGCAAGGAATGCTACAGGGGCAGAGCTCTGCGGAGCTGTCGGCAGAGCCCACGCTCCGGCGGGCACAACACGGGCTTACCAGATGTGCAGGCAGCTGAGCGCCGCGAAGATGATCCCCACGACCAGGGCCAGGGGTATGGCAAGAACCAGCGTCAGGAGTTTGTAGATCACGTACTTGCTGAGCTCAAACAGAGCGTGGCTGCAGATCCAGACTTTGTCGAAGGAGTGGGTGAGCTCGGGCTCCGCGATCACATCCTCGAACCCCAGCTGGAATGAGAGGCGGCTTTGCCGTCACCCGGGGCTGAGGGGCGGGGAGCCCGCCGGCGAACCCCCGTTCGCCGTGGACCTGAGCCCCGGCCCCGGTCCCGGCCCCGGTCCCGTCCGGCCCCGGCCCGGCCCTGCCCGCACCTGAAGGTGGGCGTTCATCCCGTGGGGGTCGCGGTCCAGCTCGTCCTCCGCGCACTTCTCCGCCTCCGAGAGCGCGGGCCCGCCGCTCCGCGGGAAGCTGTCGTCGTCCATGAAAATGCGGGTGTCCACCTTCTCCGTCTCCAGCCCCATGGCGCTGCCGCCGCTCCGCGGCTCCGGCCCGGCCCTGCCCCGTCCGCCGCCGCGGCCCCGCCGGGCCGGGCCGGGGCGGAGCGGGGCTGCCCGGGACACGCCCCGCGGGCCGCGCTGGGGCAGGCGGAGGGAGCGGCGGGGAGCACCGGGCTGGGCTCGGGGTGGGCGCCTGCCGGCAGCCCGCCCGCCCCCCGGCTCGACAGCTGCTCTATGGGCTCTCAGACCTCCAGCAGCGTATCCCGGCCGCCCGGAGCCGCCCGGCGTGCTCGGTTTCCCCGTTCCCTGCGGTGTCCGGCTGTCATCCGGCTGTCACCGCGGCGTGACGGGCCTTTGTCCGCGTTTGTGGCATCGCAACAACAGGCAGCGGGAACAAAAAGCCTAGGGGATTATGCATTGGGCCATGTTGGACCGTGTCTGCCGACCCTTTGCAGCTGTAGGGAAAACAGGGAAAGAGGAGGGGAAGGGAGGTGTCGCCTCTGCCCGCCGAGTTCCCGTGTCCGGCCTCACCGGCGTGTCAACTCCAGAGTGATTTACTTGACTGGTGCTCCCTAAACTGCGTCATTTTTGCTGCAATAAAATACTGAATCTGCCATTACAAGCTATTTTCATGCGCTCTTTGGGTTTTAGCTTCAGTCCCTACAAATTATTTCCTCTTGTTTTATTTGAGAACATGTTTTAAGCCTAAAAGTGGTCTATATAGAGTAAATTATTGTAACGACTGCTATAAGTATCTGGCAATATTGATACGTACTGTGAGCTTATGAGCTGCCACAAGTTCATTTTTGCTGCATTCAATAACCACAATCACCATTACTCTCAGAGAGAAACGGTATTACTAATCAATAATCCAGGCTTGTTAAATTAAAAAGGAAGTTCCTAGTGGTTACTTTCTTTAGTTTTCACCACTGCATTAAATTAAGGATAGCTTTAAGCTTTGAAAAGCTCTCAGGAAAGTGATATAAAAATTACTTAAAGTTTGGACAGGAAATCACCTATTACAATGCTCTGGACCCCACAGCATTGTTTTTGACCGGATAAGGTCTGCAGAAAAGCTTTGCATCTACGTGTTACTCATGTTGACACTTTTTTTCTTCCATGTTGATGAATTTGGTGATACTGCTGTCACATAAATGGTTTGGATCCAGCAACGTAGCTGTGGCTCTTAGACGCTAAAAGCCTGAAAATAAGTTTACAATAGGTTCAAAGGCAAGCAAAGAAACTGCGTGATGACTCACATACTTATGAGTTGCATTTCTACCCCCTAATTCCTCTTTGCTCCATGAGTGAGAGGAATGAGAAGGCCAGTTGACAGAGTCAAGGTCCATCCCCATCCTTCAGGGTGCTTCTGTCCAGAAACTATTATTTCTTTAGCTGATAAATACAGAGGCTGAGTGCAGCTCAAAGGCATTCATCAAGCTTCTGGTGGCTGCTTGGGTTAGGGACAGAAATTTGGTTTAGTGCTGCTGAAAACCAAGGTAGGAGCAACCAACAGAGGATCCCAAACTATCCCCTTGGTTACACAAGTCAGACCATACTCCTTTACACCAACTACTTCCTACCTCTCCCCTCACTAGAGGCAAGGATTGGGGTGACAGTGCACAACCATGGAGCTGCTTTTGAACAGCTCTGCCCATTTCCCAACCACTTCTGCTGCATCTCATTCTACCCAACCAGCTGGAGCAGCAACTCCGTAGCTCTATTGCTCAGTTCCAACTTTGCTAAAAGCTAGGGAGTGGTTCTTTTTGCAAGATGTCCCAAATCACCATCTGCTACTGGAAAGTGGGTTTGAGGTACCAGCCGCCCTTATAAAAAACAAATAGCACTTTCTTGTTCATGTCCACCTGCTTTTTGAAATCTGTTATTGTAATTGATAAATGTTGAGACAGCACCATGGAAAATGAAGAGTTTACCTTTGTAATCTCTGAGGATTTAAAATAAAGCAATGCAATTGCTCCTGAAAGAATATTTTTCATGAAAAAAGAATATTTGTTTTATAAGGATATTCTTGTTTAAGTTTTGAGAATTGCTTTGATTATTGTAGTGCTTTATATACAGATAGAAACTGTCTTTCTTGACCACAGCAGGCTTTGCATTTGAGAATCCTCCATCTTTGCAACAAGACCCAGACAATGACCAGTTGGGACTCATCTGTTCTATTTTGCTTGTCAGGATGAGTTCAGCTTTCAGGGTGTCCTTTTCCTGTTTTATCTCCCTTTTCCCTTTAAAAAATATTTTTAATTTCATCTTAAAGTACCATATAAGATTATCATATAAATAACACTTTATATTTTCAAAGAGATAAAGGACTCCAATTAATTTCCATAGTAATTTTGTTGGGAGTTTTAACAGATGTGAACTTCAAATATGCTATTTCCTTTTCAAGATCAGTATTGAAAATCTGCATGATTTCAGAGGAGCTCTGAAAAGAGTCTTTTATTTTACCCTCATATCTCTATGACATATCTGGGGAGTTTTTGTTACTACCATTTCACAGATAGACAATATACTGGGATACAAGAAGTTCAGATGGGCTCTAAGTACTTATTTACATTAGGAGTGAGGTGTAAAAACAGTGGTTACAGCCCTCCCCTGGTCATGCAGCAAGGGTGGAAGGGAAAGGCAGCTGCACAGCTGAGATTTCAAGAGGTGAACCAAGCAGTGTTAGTGGAAAAGTTGCAAACACTTTCCCCAATTTTCCTTCTGATAAATGTATGCCTGGATGTAAATCCATATGAAGGAAGCAGGTATAGAGAACTGAGAAATTGGTGTGGCATTCAAGGATATGTGAGATGTGTTAAAATGAAGCAAAACTTCAAGGATCTTACAGATTAAATACATTGATTAGAATGTAGATTTTCTTGTTTACTCAGTGGGCAGTTTAAATATTCGAATTTGACATGTATAGAGAGCTTTTACCTGTAAACTCTAACACATTGTATTGATATAGCCATATCTGTTCAAGAAAAAAAAATTATTACATAGATTACATATTTGAAGAGTATAAGAAAACCTGATGAGAGACTTTTTGAAAAAGTGTGTGCATCATTTGTATGCTAGTTTGTCACCACTGAAGCAATGACCCTTGACTTGTTCAATTTAAAAGGATAATTAGATCCTGCCCCTGTGTGTGGAAACGCCCTTGCTCTCTGTTGCTTTTCTTGTCATTTTTTTTCCTGTGGAGTGTAAAATTCAGCATTTTCAGTGACCAGTCAATGCAAAAAAATGTAAGCAATGGATAAACATTTTTATTTATTTTACTGAATTATATACAATGCTGCTGAATTTAAGCCAAATGCTTCTATAAAGATTGATTTTGTATGTGTTAGGGTGAAAGCTGCTTCAACAGTCAGAGTAGAAATGAAATGATAAATATGTTCAGGTCAAAAACTGGTTGCAGACATGACTTTAGGACTTTCTGGATCTCTTTTAGCCAAGCTAGGTCAGTAGTAACAGAGACATTTATAGTAGCTTTCAGCATGCCTCTGATTTCTCATATGAGAAAGGAAGAAAGAAAGTACTCCCATGAGGTCTCCTGAGTTACTGTTTTGATTATTTACTGGTTAGTGCTCAAATACTCTCCAGCGAGGGGTGAGAGAGTTTGCTGTTTAATGCTGACAGTGGGAATATGGTTCCTCATCAGCAGATGGAGACCACAGGGAATAGCAAAGGGGCTGGGCTCATACATTTTTTAATACTTTCTTTTTCTTATTTCCCATCAGTACAAGTCTGGAAATGTTTTTAGAGTGTTTTCAAAATTCATTCTTGTGTGGTTTTATTTTTTTTAATCTTTGCTTCTCACTGCAGTTTATAGGATGTATCAGCAGAACTGTTATTAATGTGAATAAAACTCACAATGATTCAGTGAGACTCGGATTTGAATGTTGAAATAAGTGGTGATCTAGTTGAAAAGATCCCAGGTTGGGATTCGGAGGTTGACAGCACGTATAATATGTATTAAATCATAGAATCATAGAATCATTAAGGTTGTAAAAGACCTACAAGATCATTGAGTCCAACCTTAGACTGAACACCACCAAGTCAACTAAACCATAGTGCCACATTCATTTCTTGAACACTTCCACCACCTCCCTGGGCAACCTGTTCCAATGCCTTTCGGTGAAGAAATTCTTCCTGGTGTCCAGTGTGAACCTCCCCTGGTGTAGCTTGAGTGCATTTTCTCTTCTCCTGTCACTAGTTGCCTGGGAGAACTCCCACCAGGCCACAACCTCCTTTTAGGTAGTTGTAGAGAGCAATAAGGTCTCCCCTAAGCCACCTCTTCTCCCATCTAAACAACCTCATCTACTCCTCATATGACTTTCTCTCTAGACACTTGACCAGCTTCATTGTCGTTCTCTGGATGCGCTCCAGCACCTTAGTGTCTTTCTTGCAGTGTGCGTTCTGGTACTAGACATAGGACTTGAGGTGTGACCTCACCAGTGCTGAGCACAGAGGCACAATCACTTCCCTAGTCCTGCTGGCCACATCAATATTGTCAGCAGTACAGGGACTGTTAAAGATTATAAGGAGCCCTAATGGGGTTCTTGCTAGTGGGTCAGCTGCACGTTGTAAAAGGTGAGAAAGGAATGTAGGGTATGGAGGGCTGCTCGGTGCTGGATGGCAACTACTGAGCCTGTTCATGCCCTAGCCCTGCTGAAGTTGGGGGAGAGAACCATCTGCTTTAACCTTGCAGCACGTAGTCCAGCAGCTGCTACTGTATTGTGGGGGGGTTTTTGTCCCCCGGGAAGAGACCCTCGCGGCACACTTTGTTAGGAGACGGTCACACACGGATGACCCAAAATGGCGTTTATTAAAACAAGATGTCAGTTTATATACAGGGGAGTATGGAAGGATCGGGAACAAAGGTGGGATTTTTGCTAGGAACATTGAATCCTGAGGGTCAGTGATAAGAGAAATGGAGGGATTGGCCGCAGGGAATATGTCCGGCCATATAGGGAAAAGGGAGAGTTAGGGAGGAAAGGAAGGAGTGGTCTGGGGTACCAACAGGGGAGTTCTACAGAAGTTTGTGAGGCCATGCCTTGCAGCTGGGTCTCAGGCAACTTTTCGCA